AAGAAGACACTCTAGTCACCACCACGATGTGGATATTAGAGGCTTTTGGCTCTTCATGCTATACTATCTTCCAGAGCAACCAATCATAGTGCTCCAATAGCATACTAATTACTGAGAGCTAAGTCAAATGATCAGTTGGAGTGGTAATTGTCAGTGACAGATGTTCCCAGTTCCCTCAGTCACTTGGGAAACTTGCTGATCCCAGTTGGCAGCCTTTCAATTCCCATGACACTCCATGCTATTTTTCTGTTTCATAAGCAGACAGACAGTTTTTTGGTTTTAAAAAATACACTGGACTACATTTTAGAAACATGATAAACAGATTGAATATTCCTTGTCCAAATTGCTTGGAACCTGAAGTGTTTAGGATTTCAGATTCTTTGGATTGTGAAATTTAATGCAGTTATGTAGTGAAGATGGGACACAAGTCTTAACAGGAAAACACATAGCCTGGAGGTAATTTGAGACAATATTTTAAATAATTTTATGCACGAGACAGTGTTTGTGTATTTTGAACCATCACAAAGCAAAGGTGTCACTATCTCAGTCACCCATGTAGAAAATTTCGGATTTTGGACTATTTCTAAGCTCTGGATAAGGATGTTTTATGTGTGTGTAGTATATGCATATGCGTATATAAGATCAGACATATATGTAAAACAAGCAGTACAATTAATACATGCTTTGTAGAATAAAATTCTTGAGAGACAATTCTATAATATGAACCCACCCCTCTCCTTGCATGGCAAAAGCCCTGTCCCTGATATCTACCTGCCAGATCTACATTTCTGGCAGGTCAGGAAGTAGAGCTCCAAAAGTTTGTTTTAGTGCCAGTAGAAGGTATGTTGAGGAAATCCTTCAAATAATCAGGGTCCAAATAATCCCAAGAGGGGTTCTAATTGCACAATGAGGCCTTGTGCATGGTCAGATGTTGTTCAGTGGAACACATTACACAATGGTGTATGTTGTGCAATGGGACACATCCTACACTTGGGCCGTGGTGCAATAGCCATGCTGTTGTTGTACACATACACAATGGTCCCGATGACACAGCTATGATTCTGTTGCCCTCCTGACAATAGGATCATTGTGAAAAACCTCAGTTCAGCTTCATATGATAACAAGTAGGTTTAAGATGCTGTAACTTCCCAATGCCAGCCTATAACTTCATGCACCATCTTGTTCCTTATATTCCATCCTTTTTCTCTTTTACTATTTTAAAATAACTGTCACATATTTTAGACAATTTTGCTACCTGCCATCGCAATATGATAATCATTTTAAATGGTTCCTAAATAGGGTGTGACTTTCTAGCATTGGATAGACACATTTCTTTTGGAGAAGTGTTCAAAAAACCCTCTAAAAGGCATATGTTCTTTTTTCACTGTGTTTGATATTGTCTCAGTTTTGAAGGTAGGGAACTGAGCTTGAAATATCACAGAATTATAGAGTTGGAAGAGACACCAAGGGCCATCCAGTCCAACACTTTGGCATACAGGAATCAAAGCACCCCTGACAGAAGGGCATCCAGCTTTTTTGATAAAAGCCTCCAAAAGTAGTAGATTCCCCCCACACCACCCCCACTCCAAGGCAGCAGATCCCACTGTTGAACAGCTCTTATCATCAAGAAGTTCTTCCTATTGTTTAAGTGGCATCCCCTTTTCTTTAGTTTGAATACTTTGCTCTGTGTCCTTGTTTCAAAAGCAACAGAAAAAAATCTGGTTGCCTCCTCTATTTGATATCCTTTCAAATATTTAAGCATGATATCATGTCCCCTTGCAACCTTCTCTTCTCCAAACTATGCATACCCACCTCCATGGAAACTGTAAGGCATTTTCTCCAGATTTTTCACAAATTTGGCCACTCTCTTCAGAACACATAGCTTGTCAATATGGATTGTCACCTTGTTGTGGTGAGTGGGCTTGCATGTTCCAAAGAATTTGGGGCGTAACCATGCACTTCCGGGGGGGGGGGGGGGTTGCAGGGGAGGTTCTAGACTGACCACAGTCCGAAGACCTCAACAGCAGATTAGACAGAAGATAACGTGGAACATTTTACAATGGCTGTGAAGGCGGAAGAAGACTGCAAGAATCCACCGCTGTCATGTTAAGCACATTATTGGTTCAGACCCTCACTCTGTGAAGACTGTGTATTGATCAGCTGTGCACCGACCTCCACACATTAAAAAACCCCTCATGCATAGGTGTCTTCCAAGAACTTGGAAGGTCATCATACTCGAACAATAAGGGATCGCCTAGGTAAGTGTCAGTATCCTTCCTGAAATATGATGCCCAGAATTGGATGCAGTATTATTAATAAGTGTTACTCAGTTATAGGCAGAGAGTGTACATACAGTCAGATGAATCCCTGCTGTACTACTCAAGGCAACTAAACTGGTCAACCTGTCTTTTACCTTCTACCAGTTTTTTTAAACATTCCCCATCTCCAGCCTCCAAATTTGTTGTAAAATGATGTCTGCTCCAACTAGATCTCTCTCACATAAAATGTGTTTCAAGGACAGTTCTGTGCCAACATTTAGGTGGCTATCCCCACAAATTTAATCCAATGCTGTTTTGCCTGTACGGTTTGTAGAGAGCACCAAAGAAAGTGCCTCAGTGGCCTGAAGTGAACCAGCTGAGCTTCCTCTGAAATCTCAATGGGGAAGGAAAGAGGGAGGGAAGGGAGGAAGGAGGAGAAGATGGTAGAAAAAGTAACAACAATACAACATTTGTCACAGAAGTTAAAAAAGAACTAGAAACGGATCAGAAATGGAATTGTCACTTGAATGGAAATTATGCAGCCCAAGTCAAAACAATGGCATGTTGTTCTCTTGTATCAGAACACTGGCAGTTTGGGATGCAGGAAACGACTTTCCTGTTTCAAAATCTCTGAGAGGTTTCCCACTGAATTTAGTAGGAGAGAGACAGTGTCTATATGTAAAGCGTAACCTGACAGATGGAATGAAAGCTATACACAAACACTTGTAAGCTTGAAACACCAAGAACCCTTCTGACAGTCCTTGAACTGTGCCCTGGCAAAGCACATACATGTTAAAACAACAGGGTGGATGGGTTAGCCAGTCCCATACAGAGGAAGCAAATATAACAACCTCTCAGCCTCAGAAGGAAATAATAGCAAGTCCCCTCAGAATACATCTGAACCAATCTTGCCATGAAAGCACCAGGATAGGATCACTTTAGGGTTTCCATGAGTCAGAAATCATAATAATAGAGATTATCTGCCAATGCTACATTCTAATTCAAATCACCCTCTTCCCCCTAAAGGGATGGGTAACAGTGTAGAATAGAATCCAAATAAACTCATAATAATAATAATAATAATAATAATAATAATAATAATAGGAAAAGTTTACATGAAGATTTAAAGATAGAACTGCGAAGGCTCTGGCACAAGCCAGCAAAGGTGGTCCCAGTGGTGATCAGCACACAGGGTGCACTGCCTAAAGTCCTTGGCCTGCACTTAAAAACAATTGGCGCTGACAAAATCACCATCTGTCAGCTGCAAAAGGCCACCCTACTCGGATCTGCACACATTATTTAGCAATACACCACACAGTCCTAGACACTTGGGAAGTGTCCAGTGTGTGATCAGATACAAAAGCCAGCATAGTGATCTTGTTTGCTTTGTACTAATCTTGTTATGTATCAAATAATAATAATAATAATAATAATAATAATAATAATAATGGCTCTCCATGGACAGTTCCTGGCAAAAATTGAGATCCACATTGACAAAGAAAAAACATGGCTGTGGCTCACAAATGGAACTCTAAAAAAGGAGACGGGGGGCCTGATTCTGGCAGCCCAAGAACAAGCCATTAGAATAAATGCCATCAAAGCCAGAATTGAAAAGTCGACGACAGCTCCCAAATGTAGACTCTGCAAGGAAGCAGATGAAATAATAGATCACATCCTCAGCTGCTGAAAGAAGATTGTGCAGACAGACTACAAGCAGAGGCATAACACTGTTGCTCAGATGATTAATTGGAACTTGTGTCACAAATACCATCTGCCTGCAACAAAAAACTGGTGGGATCACAAGCCGGAAAAAGTTACAGAAAATGAACGTGTCAGACTACTCTGGGACTTCCGAATTCAGACAGACAGAATTTTGGAGCACAATACTCCTGACCTCATGATCGTATTAAAAAACAAAGTATGGATTGTTGATGTTGCAATCCCAGGTGACAGCAGGATTGGAGAGAAACAATTGGAAAAGTTGACACGATATGAGGATTTAAAGATCGAAGTGCAAAGACTCTGGCACAAGCCAGTCAAGGTGGTCCCAGTGGTGATGGGCACACTGGGTGCAGTGCCTAAAGACTTTGGCCTGCACTTAAACACAATCGGCGCTGACAATATTACCATCTGCCAGCTGCAAAAGCCCATCTTACTGGGATCTGCACGCATTATTTGCCGATACATCACACAGTCCTAGAAACTTGGGAAGTGTCCTATGTGTGATCCAATTCAACAGCCAGCAGAGTGTCTGCTGTGGCCTCATCTTGTTGTGTTTCAAATAATAATAATAATAATAATAATAATAATAATAATAATAATAGTGCTGGATTTCATATCACAATATGACAAGTCAAACATTCCCAAGTGTCTAGGACTGTGTGATGTATTTTCAAATGATGCGTGCAGATCCAAGTAAGGTGGCCTTTTGCAGTTGACAGATCGTGATTTTGTCTCATTTGCTGTGACTTACTGTGTTTTTGTGTCAGAATAATAATAATAATAATAATAATAATAATAATAATAATAATAATAATTCTGCTTCCCCAACAGGAGCTATAGTTTCCTGCTATAGAATAAGGGGCATCTTGGATCTGGTTGCTTCACATATGCAAAGTAGCTAGGCTTTCTCCCTCTCCCTCGCTCTCTCTTCTTCCGCTGCTGCTGCTGAATGGTCTTCATGCAGCTGGGGAAAGCTTTCAGCTGTTGTCAGAGAGAGAGAGAGAGAGAGAGAGAGAGAGAGAGAGACCGGGGAATGCTGGGCTATGCTGATGTAACAGGCTCTCTGCAATTTTCATTCAGATGTGGTTGGCTGCAAGCTGGCAGAGAGCCTCAGCTACGCCTCCAACTCCGATGAGGTAATCCCAGCTCCCTCTTTTGGGTTACTCCAGCAGGATCTGCGCTTTTCCAGCTTCCAGGTCAGCTCTCTCCCTTGCTTGAAACCCGCCGGACAGGGAGAGCTCCCTCCCTGCCATCTTCCCCTCCTTCTCCCCCTTCCCAAACTCCCTCCCCTCTCTCTTTAATGCACATCCCACTAGGAGATCTTTTTTTGGAAGGGGGAGGGAGGAAGGGAGGGTGGAAAGGAGGAGCGAATAGGTCTCACATTTGCAACTCTGGCCTCCAGGTCCGCTTTGGATGGGCTTCCCGAGACTTGGCTATGAAGACGCGGCCGGGCTGCCAGCCCTAACTCGCCTCGGAGGAGCCGCCAGAAGTCAGCCCCGCTCGCCCTGCCCGCCTCCCTTCGGAGATGCCTCAGCTCACAAGGCAAAGATGGAGCGGTCCTCCTCGCCAGCGCCCTCCGCCCGCATGTTCCTCTTAAGGGGAGCCGGCCCAGAAAAGTGGGGTGCTCGCCTCCAGCGCCGAGGGCCCAGAAGAGCCGGGGCTGGCAGCTCTGGGCGTCTCGGGCCGCCACTTCCCTCTCTTCGGGGACACGGGAGTCCTTTGGACCGAGAGCGTCGCTCTGCGGGATGGAGGGCGCGTTCAGCACCTTGGAGAGCTCCCGCTGAGCCGCTTGGCAGGCGGATGCTCCATTCGGGGAGCTGGCCATTCCCTTGACAGGCAGTGCCGCTCAGCCCCAAACAAGCCTTTCTCTCTTCCTCTCTCTCTCTCTCCCCTCAGCTCCTTTCTGCACCAAGACACCTTAAACTCCTTCTTGCTTGCTAGAGAAGCTCAAGCTTTGTAAGGGGAAACTTTAGAACAGCCTTCTGTTGCAAAACTTTGGGGAGCCAGCCACAAGAAAACCAAGAGAGCAGCAGAGTGAGTGATTCTCCTTTTACTTCTCCTCTCTCTGCTTTGTGTGTGTGTGTGTGTGTGTCAGGAGCGACCTGAGAAACTGCAAGTCGTTTCTGGTGTGAGAGAATTGGCCGTCTGCAAGGACGTTGCCCAGAGGACACCCAAATGTTTTGATGTTTTACCATCCTTGTGGGAGGCTTCTCTCATGTTCCCGCATGTGGAGCTGGAGCTGACAGAGGGAGCTCATCCACATTCTCCCCAAATTCGAACCTGTGATCTGTCAGTCTTCAGTCCTGCCGGCACAAGGGTTTAACCCACTGCACCACCGAGGGCTCCCTGTGCTTAGATGTAGGAACTCTTACCTGGATACAAAGCCTACCTGACCTACGCTCGAAGATGGAGAGCTTCAGGGCTTTTTCTTTCTTCCCACCAACTTCTCCTGTGTCACATGACACATGCCAAAGTTCACTTTAAACGCATAGACCTTGGCTAAAAGTGGACTCAAGGGTTCCTTCTTATTTTATTTTTCTGTCATCTCTCTCTCTCTCTCTCTCTTCCTATTGCTGGGAAGTTTAGAACAAGAGTTGACCTCTTAAGCCAAGAAACCTACCTTTTTGGAACGCTGCTGGTCTGGATTCAGAATTAGGGAGCACACAACAAGGGACTGCCTTGGGACATGCTATAGAAAGGCTGCCACGTTCAACTGCAGGATTAAAAAAAGAAAAAAGACTTGAGAGATTTGTCAGGTAACAAGGAAAGAAGTAGCTTTCTCAAGAAATCAACCACCAAAAGCTGTTGGAGGCCAACAGCTAAGGAAACCCCTCTGGAGACTTTCTGACTGCATTTGCATGGGCTTTGATTTCCCTCCATAGCAAAGTGTGACACAGACAGAGACCTAGGGAGAGAAGAAAAAATAACAGAAGAAAGTCTCCATCCCCCTGGACTTTCATTGCCACATCTGGTGGGGATTTTAGGACTTTTAAATCCAGCCTTCGCTGCAACCCACAATGGCAAATGAACCGGTGATTTTGAATGTTTATGACATGGTGAGTGAGAAACAATTTGATGCTTCTGTTTGGGGTGGGAGGTGAGGGAGAGGATTCCTGGGATGTGATTGGACAAGAGTTTCTATTACGATGAGCCAAGGAGCATGCAGGAGCTGGATTTCCACAGCTATTCCTGACAGAGATGTGACTGCAGATGTGTACTGTCAACACTAGTGTTCCCTCTCTCCCTCTCTCAGTCTCTCTGCCTTTCTCAACACTGATCAGAAAAGGCTAAAGGTAAAACAGGATTTTCTGGAGATTACTCTGTGAGAGAGAGGGAAAGCAGGGGAGGGAAGGCTGTTTGTCCCCAAACCCAACTAGTGATGATGGGGACAGAACATGAGAGATGTTGTATCACGGCTTATTCTCAAAGTAGGATGCCCTTGACTTTCAAAGCAATTACATACCCTAGACCAGGGAGGAATGGAGCAGAGAAGGTGAGAACTTGTCCTTTTATGCATCACAGAAACCTTCCTGTATACATTTATTTAGAGGTAAAAATCAAAGTGGTTTCAGGAGGCTTTCTCTGATATAAGAGTGCTGTTGTGGTGAATGGTGGCAGACTTGCATATTTTCCTCTTACTATGAGTCGCTTGAAATCATACTGCATATTATGATGTGAATTTACATTGGATCCTGCATTAGGGCCTCAAGGCATGAGGGAACTTGGGAGAAATGCCTTGATTTAATTATCACCAAGAGAGCAAAATATTTTAACCAACCAAACAAGCATGAAAGTAAAGAATTGAAATTTAAAAACCAATTGCTATTTTTCATGAGGGAAACTTTTTGTAGTCTGCTTTAGGGTAATACTTTTATTAGGCCAGCCCCAATATTACAGCTAATAAGAATATTGGGTTGTTGTGAGTTTTTCAGGCTGTATGGCCATGTTCCAGAAGCATTCTCTCCTAATGTTTTGCCTGCATCTGTGGCAGGTATCCTCAGAGGTTGTGAGGTCACAGCCTCTGAGGATGGCTGCCATAGATACAGGTGAAATGTCAGCAGAGAATGCTTCTGGAACATGGCCATATAGCCTGAAAACCTCACAACAACCTAGTGATACCAGCCACAAAAGCCTTTGACAATACAATAAGAATATTATCTTGAAATGGACTTTGTTTTTTCTTTCTTTCTTATAGCCAACACAGTTATTTGCACTTTTTGTGTGTGTCCTATTAATGTGATTTGCATCATTTTTTTTGTTTTCTGTACTAGTCTCTTTTGGAGTGATAGCAGACAGAGATACTTTTGATGCATTCCTGTTCAGTAATAAAGATATGCAATATCACTTGATGAACTAGAGGGTTCAGATCATACTATTATTGTCAATATAGCTCCCTGTGAACTATCCAGATGAATTACTTAAAATGATCAATGAGAAGTGTAGAAGAATCACTGTGCAGTAAGGTTTCAGAGGAAACTAATATTTTTCTAAGGAAACTGTTGTCATAGACCACTGCATGAAGAACTGATAAGCCAAATCTATGTAAGAAGCATTATTCTGGAATCATTAACTTTATTTTTGACAGATTACTTTTTGATATGTGTTGAAGATCTGGGCAAGGGAGAATGAGATTCATAGTAATGTTCAAAGGTTTGCTCTTAGATCTCTTTCACACTGCAAAATTATAGTACATTCACATCATTTTACTCATCATGGATCTATCCTATGGGATTCTGGGATTTATAATTTCATGAGGTATTTAGAATTGTTTTACAGAGAAAGCTAGTAAGTAATTTGGTAAACTACAAATCCCAGGATTGTACAGAATGGAGCCAAGGCAGTTTTATTGGCATGTGGTGTGAAGGAAATATGTGAAGGATGAACAATACTTACTAATAAATCCTAACAATGTTACAAATAAGTCCTAGCAATGGAAATTACACACAGGATTGCTCAGGAAGGCTTCTATCCAGAGTATGCTTTACATAATGAGGTATATTATTTTAATACATATCCAAATACAAAAGGAAAACATATTTTAAACTACAGTTCTTTGAAACAAGTATGTTTCAAAGAACTGTATTTTAAAATATGTTTTTCCTTTTTTAGTATCTTATGATAACTAGAGATGAAATGTGATTCAGGAATGAAGTCCCATGATGTATAGTGGGTGAAGATATAATAATAAATATTATATTATATAATAAATACTTCCATGATACCCTTCCTGGATTCCTAACACAAGGATAGGCTAAGTGTGATCTACGAGTTGAAGGCTTGGGGACTTCAGTGTGGACCCAGTCTGTTTTCTTCAATTTTAACATGGGTTTGGAGACCTAAGTTAGGACTGTGAAAACATTCACATATATCACACCTCCAAAAGTTTCTGGGGTCATGGATCAACATTGGAGAGGCAAAAAAAGTGGGGGAGCAAGGGATATTGGGAGTAGAGATGTGAATGAGAAAGGGGGACATGGGGTGGAATAATGTAAGAGGGTGTTGTGGTCTACCAAGCTCTACCAGAAGGCAAAAATAGCCAATAAACCCTTAGACATGATCCACCTCACTCTGCGAGCAATGTGGCACAACCAAAAGAAGAGGAGGGAAATTGCTATCCAACTTGAGAAGCCAAAATTTAAAGCAGTGTGCACATTGAGACAGACATTGATATGGCCTTTACTATTTTTTATACCATGTAAGTCTAATGAAGACAAAGCTTAGGAAAGTTACATTTTTGATCCATGTTGGTCAGTCAACATGACCAACCACCATGCTCTGAATGAGAGGCCCTAATAAGGCCCCAAAACAGCTTTCCATTAGCATAGTCTTTACTAATGAATGCCTTTTAGTTATATTGTGTCAGAAAGTCTATCATCTACTTTACAAAGTCAATGGATGTTGCAGTCCAGCACTTCCAGAAGTCATTGGCTTAGGACCCTCTGCATTGAGTTTAATCTCTAAGGGTTTTGATCTCTCTCTCTCTCTCTTTCTGTATTTTGGCAAAGCAGAGTTTCTGTGAGTATGCTGATATCTGCCTCTCATGCGTGGGTGGTACTGGTTGACTGCATCTGGAAAACTGAGATTGCTATTAGTTTATATGATTTCATATTGGCATTTTCTCTGGTTCAGATTTTGGCAATAAGAAAAACAGGTAAAGAAGGAATGCTTTCTTCAGAATGTAAAACCCATTTTTATAAAAGCATTGTGAAAATATTCAAAAGAGCTTAATGCTCTGCCATTGGCTCTGCAGGCACTCGCAGTGGGTTATCAGCAATGGAAAAGCCCACACACCACACTCAATATTTAAAAAGCATGCCTTGGCCATTTTTTAAAAATTACACATGCTGGGCTTTTAAATGTCTGGAACAATTAAGAACAAAACATGGGCTTCCAGGTGATTTGTGGACAGAAATCAACATAAAAGCAGAAAACCTTTTCAATGCAATCTTTTATTTCTAAAAGAAAAATAAAGCTAAGAAATGCTTTAAAAGTGTATTACATTTATCCAAAGGAAAAAGGGGGTCTGAAGAGTGTATAACTCTTGATCAAAAGAGCTATCAGAAGAGCAAGAGTTAATTCACTGCAGTTGTACTTCTATGTTTAATGCCTGACTATCAGTCTGTCATCAGTGTTCCCAAAGGCAGGGTTAGAAGGAACACCCACTATCCCTTTCCTCAATCAATGTTTCCATTTATCATTAAAACATCCTTAGTGAAAAGAGAACCCATCTCCCTAATCCAATAGTCATGCATCTTGGAACTTTTTTGAAGTTGGGTGTCTCAACATTGGTAGATAGGTCCTTATTCAAGCACAATATGTAATTAGAAATGTCCACCATGCCTTCAGGGCAGTTTGCTCCCAAGTAATGGTACATAAGGTATATTCTAGGTAGTTTTTATTATTTCTGCAAAACCTAAATGACAACAGCTCCCTTAAAACTTTTGGTTTCCTAACAAAGCTATGAGTATGAAAGTATTTAATGCTGAAGCCTTGCCCCTCCCAACCCTTTAACCCAGTAGTTCCCAACCTGTGGTCCATGAACCACCAGTGGTCCACAAGAACAAAAATATAGTCTTACTACACCGTTCCCTTGAAATCACATGGAAACAAGAGCAACTGGTCTCACAAAACCCTCTTATAGTGCTGAGGCAACAGGGATGTCCGGATGGGAGAGGCTGACTACCCACGAAAGATTACTACTACCGCATCAGCTCTAGATTATTAAATATGGGTGAGCAGATGGTGACAACTGGATGGTATATGTCCTGTATCAGAAACTAGAGCTGATGTGGTCTATCCAATGCAATTTTCTGAATCAGCACCCCAAATAACCAAACCGAATCTAAAGTTGCCCATGGCTGGCCAAATTTGGGCCCATAGATGCCCATATTATTACTTAACACACATTGCTTTCAACTGGAAGGTATCGGTAGCTATAATTCATAATTGCCTTGGTAAAACAAATTAGTCCCAATATGCTCCAAACACCAGAATAAATTTCACCTTTCCCTCCCGTTTTTAAAATAAGCAGCACAAAAGGCTTAGCATAACTAAAACATATTCTCAAGCTTTGAATGATAGTTTTGTATAGTCCCAGAATCCACCAACAATCAGGCTAGATCTACACTGCCATATAATTCGGTTTCAGAATCCAGATTATTTGCTTTGAACTGGATTATTTGAGTCTACACTTCCATATAATCCAGTTCAACACAGATAATCTGGATTCAGAAACTGGATTATATGGCAGTGTAGATGGAACCTCAGTCAATCCATTTATTTTTGGTCTGCCACAGTGAGAACTCAAGAAATCAGTACAAAATCTGTAAAGAACTGAATTAAGTGGCATTTACGGTTTACAGACTGCCTGATATTCTCTGAATTGTACTTAATAGTTTGTTAAATAAATAGGATTTACAGGTAATCTGTTTAGGATTTGGGTTGAACTTCCAGGCATTTCACTCTTTAAAATGATAATCACCCTGGGGTGTTATTAAGTGCTGATGCCATGTTTTCCTTGTAAGGTTGACTGTAGATGAACTTGATAAACTATGAT